TGTACCTTGTTGAATAGATCTTTACACAAAATCATAGTATGTAATGTACCATGATAGATGGACATTCACACTTAGTCAAAGTATGTAATGTATTTAGATAACTAAACATTTAAACTAAGTCCAAGCATGTAATATACATTGATGAATGAACATTTAAACTAAGTCAAAGTATGTAATGTACATTGATGACTGAACATTAACATTAACTAATTGTATATAATACACCTTGATGAGTTGACATTTACAATAAGTCAAAGTCTTTTATATGCCTTGATGAATGAACCTTTACACTAAGTTAAAGTAAGTAATATAGCTTGATAAAAGGACATTTATAATAAGTCAGAGTATGTAATGTATCATGATGATAGAAATTTATACTAAGTCAAAGTATGTAATGTACCATGATGGATGGCCTTTAATACTCAATCAAATTATTTAATGTAGCTTTTGAATAGACTTTTACACTAAGTCACAATATATGATGTACCTTGATGATTGAATCTTAACACTAAGTCAAAGTATGTAATATACCATGATGACTGAATTTTTACACTAAGTCAAATTATTTAATTTATATTAAAGAATGGATATTTTCTCTAAATAATAGTATGTAATTTACATTGATGAATAAACTATTACACTAAGTCCAAATATGTCATGTATTTTAAGGAAATAATATTTACACTAAATTAAATTATGTAATGTACATTTATGATTGAACCTTTACATTATGTGAAATTATGTATATACCTTGATGAAGATACCTTTACACAACGTCAAAGTATGTAATGTACATTAATAAGTGGACTTTTACACTAAGTCAAAGTATGTAATGTACCTTGTTAAATAGATCTTTACACAAAGTCATAGTATTTAAGGTACCATGATAAATGGACATTTACACTAAGTCAAAGTATGTAATGTACTTATATGAATAAATATTTAAACTAAGTCCAAGAATGTGATATACATTGATGACTAAACATTTAATCTAATTCAAAGTATGTAATGTAAATTAATGATTGAACATTAACTTTAACTCATAGTATGTAATATACCTTGATGAGTTAACATTTAAACTAAGTTAAAGTCTTTTATATTCCTTGAGGACTGAACCTTTACACTAAGTCAAAGTATGTAATTTAGCTTGATGAAAGGATATTTACAATAATTTGAAGTATGTAATGTACCATGATGATGGATATTTATACTAAGTCAAAGTATGTGATGTACCATGATGAATGGACCTTTACACTCAATCAAATTATTTAATGTATATTTTGAGTGGAATTTTACACTAATTCACAATATGTAATGTACCTTGGTGATTAAACCTTAACACTAAGTCAAAGTATTTAATATACCATGATGACTGGATTTTTATACTAAGTCAAAGAATTTAATTTATATTAATGAATAGACATTTGATCTAAATAAAAGTATATAATGTATATTGATGAATGAACTATTACACTAATTCCAAATATGTCATGTATTTTCATGAAATAACATTTACACTATGTTAAATTATGTAATGTACCTTTATGAATGAACCTTTACATTATGTTAAAGTATGTAATGTACCATGATGATGAATATTTATACTAAGTCTAAGTATGAAATGTACCATGATGAATGAACCTTTATACTCAATCAAATTATTTAATGTAGGTTTTGAATAGACTTTTACACTAAGTCACAATATGTAATGTACCTTGATGATTGAACATTAACATTAAGTCAAAGTATGTAATACACTATGATGACTGGATTTTTATACTAAGTCAAAGTATTTAATTGATATTAATGAATGGACCTTTACTCTAAATAAAAGTATATAAAGTACATTGATGAATGAACTATTACACGAATTTCAAATATGTCATGTATTTTCATGAAATAACATTTACACTAAGTAAAATTATGTATTGTACATTTATGAATGAACAGTTACATTATGTTAAATATGTATTATATCTTGATGAAGATACATTTACACAAAGTCAAAGTATATGATGTACATTAATAAATGGACCTTTACAATAAGTCAAAGTATGTAATGTACCTTGTTGAATATATCTTTACACAAAGTCATAGTATGTAATGTACCATGATAAATGGATATTTACATTTAGTCAAAGTATGTAATGTATTTAGATAACTAAACATTTAAACTAAGTCAAGGCATATAATATACATTGATGAATATATATTTAAACTAAGTCAAAGTATGTAATGTACATTGATGAGTGAATATTAACTTTAACTAATCGTATATAATACACCTTGATGAGTTGACATTTAGAATAAGTCAGTCTTTTATATGCCTTGATGAATGAACCTTTACACTAAGTCAAAGTATAAATATAGCTTGATGAAAGGAATTTTATAATAAGTCAAAGTATATAGTGTATCATGATGGTAGTCATTTATACTAAGTCAAAGTATGTAATGTACCATGATGAATGACCCTTTACACTCAATCAAATTATTTAATGTAGATTTTTAATAGACTTTTACACTAATTCACAATATGTAATGTACCTTGATGATTGAACATTAACACAAAGTCAAAGTATGTAATATACCATGATGACTGGATTTTTACACTAATTCAAAATATGTAATTTATATTAATGAATGGACATATGCTCTAAATAAAAGTATGTAATTTACATTGATGAAGGAACTATTACATTTAGTCCAAGTATGCAATGTATTTTCATGAAATAACATTTACACTAAGTTAAATTATGTAATGTACATTAATGATTGGACCATTACATTATGTTAAAATATATATTATACCTTGATGAAGATACCTTTACACAAAGTCAAAGTATGTAATGTACATTAATAATTGGACTTTTACACTAAGTCAAAGTATGTAATGTACCTTGTTAAATAGATCTTTACACAAAGTCATAGTATTTAAGGTACCATGATAAATGGACATTTACAATAAGTCAAAGTATGTAATGTACTTATATGAATAAATATTTAAACTAAGTCCAAGAATGTGATATACATTGATGACTAAACATTTAATCTAATTCAAAGTATGTAATGTAAATTAATGATTGAACATTAACTTTAACTCATAGTATGTAATATACCTTGATGAGTTAACATTTAAACTAAGTTAAAGTCTTTTATATTCCTTGAGGACTGAACCTTTACAATAAGTCAAAGTATGTAATTTAGCTTGATGAAAGGATATTTACAATAATTTGAAGTATGTAATGTACCATGATGATGGATATTTATACTAAGTCAAAGTATGTGATGTACCATGATGAATGGACCTTTACACTCAATCAAATTATTTAATGTATATTTTGAGTGGAATTTTACACTAATTCACAATATGTAATGTACCTTGGTGATTAAACCTTAACACTAAGTCAAAGTATTTAATATACCATGATGACTGGATTTTTATACTAAGTCAAAGAATTTAATTTATATTAATGAATAGACATTTGATATAAATAAAAGTATATAATGTATATTGATGAATGAACTATTACACTAATTCCAAATATGTCATGTATTTTCATGAAATAACATTTACACTATGTTAAATTATGTAATGTACCTTTATGAATGAACCTTTACATTATGTTAAAGTATGTAATGTACCATGATGATGAACATTTATACTAAGTCAAAGTATGAAATGTACCATGATGATTGAACCTTTATACTCAATCAAATTATTTAATGTAGGTTTTGAATAGACTTTTACACTAAGTCACAATATGTAATGTACCTTGATGATTGAACATTAACATTAAGTCAAAGTATATAATACACTATGATGACTGGATTTTTATACTAAGTCAAAGTATTTAATTGATATTAATGAATGGACCTTTGCTCTAAATAAAAGTATATAAAGTACATTGATGAATGAACTATTACACGAATTTCAAATATGTCATGTATTTTCATGAAATAACATTTACACTAAGTTAAATTATGTAATGTACATTTATGAATGAACATTTACATTATGTTAAATATGTATTATATCTTGATGAAGATACATTTACCCAAAGTCAAAGTATATAATATACATTAATAAATGGACCTTTACAATAAGTCAAAGTGTGTAATGTACCTTGTTGAATATATCTTTACACAAAGTCATAGTATGTAATGTACCATGATAAATGGATATTTACATTTAGTCAAAGTATGTAATGTATTTAGATAACTAAACATTTAAACTAAGTCCAAGCATGTAATATACATTGATGAATATATATTTAAACTAAGTAAAAGTATATAATGTACATTGATGACTAAATATTAACTTTAACTAATCGTATATAATACACCTTGATGAGTTGACAATTAGAATAAGTCAAAGTCTTTTATATGCCTTGATGAATGAACCTTTACACTAAGTCAAAGTATGTAATATAGCTTGATGAAAGGACATTTATAACACGTCAAAGTATGTAATGTATCATGATGATAGACATTTATACTAAGTCAAAGTATGTAATGTACCATGATGAATGCCCTTTACACTCAATCAAATTATTTAATGTAGATTTTGAATAGACTTTTACACTAATTCACAATATGTAATGTACCTTGATGATTGAACGTTAACACAAAGTCAAAGTATGTAATTGTTGCACCCTAAAATTTGCCCTCCTAATTTCTTTTATTTGGCTTAGACCTTTGCATTCATCTGCATCATTCCAATAGGTCATATGCATAGTATGCATTTTCATAAAAAAGATAGAGCACCTGAGGTTCAAAAAATCAGCAATTATGAAGCTAGGGTTCACAGTTGATTTGAGCCGTATATGTTGTATAAGACTAATCATTTTGTTCCTTCTTAGTGTGGAATACTTTGGAAATTAGGGTTTCGTGTTCATTGATATTTTGGACTTCACCTCTTATTAAGTTGCAAGGCTCTCTCGCATTAAGACGCAAGGATCATGGCTTAGGGTTCATCCCTTATACTCAGGGATACTAGATAAATGATTCAAAGGTTACACCTCATCTATGGCGTCCTTCCCAACACTTTGGTATTGTTCATCATCTTCTTGTGTTTATCATCCCTACATGAGCTAGGGTTTATTTCCCTTGTCGTGTGGTATTCAAGAGGGGTTCTTTGTGCATTCTTGAGTTTATTAGTGGATACCATCACTCAGCGGGTTCCATCAGTGCTTGAAATGTAAGTCATTAAAGAAATCTCGGTGTATTCATGGTCAATAGGGGTTTGGTTCAAGGAAGCTTCACTTGTAATACAATGAATTTTACAAGACTTCATTTAGAAGACTTCACATTATACATGGAAGTGCTTATGCATCACGATTCCATAAATTTCATTCATTTCCTGGATTATAAGTCATTTTTTTAAGACTTGATGTGTATACGGCAAACTAGGGTTTTTCATGTGGATTAAGGTTTTATTTCTATGTGGTTCTCTTTATCACTTAAGAGGTTAGTCCATTTGATCCTCATCATCATAGAAAGCTTTTTTTCACTACTTTCCTCGTCTCCGAATTTATGAAAAGACCTTTTGGGATTTCATTCATGGATTGGTGAAGTTATAGAAGAGGTTATGGTTCATTCAAACTTCAATTTGAGAAAAGTACATGGTATGCCATGATTTCTATAGATGCAAAATCAAATAGAAAAAACATGGAGTTTACAGGAGTTGCGTGGGGTCATCTCCGAAAAGTCTTGGAACCAATTGTTAAAGAATTTCAAATCAAAATCATTCATAAGGTAAACATTGGTTCTTGACCTTATTGATAATAATGACTTATGGTTGCAAAAAAAAGTAAAATTGGGAAAGATTTGAAGTACAAGTGAAATAAATGGAGGGAAAGGGAAAGAGTTTTATTTGTCATTTCAAATTATTGAAAAAAGGTCAAATACATTCAAAATCGTTACAATTACTCAAGTACATTTACATCAAAAAAACCTAATCCTAAACCTAAACTACATCCACCTTCAAGTTGTCCATTGTCTCCATATGCTCGCTTAAACTCCAATGATGCTCCTCGCCAAGATTCCTTTTTTAACAACAATGACCAAATCGAAGCTGTTATTCACCATTTTATGATTCAACAATACCAGTATTAATAACATCAAGAAGTTCAAGATAAGGAAAGGGAGAAAGAGAGCAACTTTCTATTTTGACTCATTTGATTGCTGCTTTTAGAAAATATTTGATTGGTTGTAGCACCACTGGTTCTGATGTTGCTTCTTTGATGGAAATTAGGTGGCCTTCTAATGTTAGACATATTGCTCATGTTACAGATCGTGCTCAGGCTTCTTCCCGCAACCAAAACCAAGCCCTGCATAAAAAAATCAGGAACCAAATTCAGGAAACCACGAAAACATAATGAAGTCATGAAATAATGGAAATAGCAGTAAGTCAGAATTAAACAGCTAATAGCTAACAGAATTACTAACTCATAAGTGTCATAACCATTCTAACAAACCCCTAACTGTTTCTAATTGATTTCAACAAAACTTCTAACAGAATCTCTAACAGAACCATATAATCCCATAACAGAAATCCAACTGTGCCAACTGTCATAGCTTCTAGCTTCTAACAGAATTACAAAAAGCCTTAACTGATTTTTTATCAATCTAACAGATCATAACAGAATAACAAAAAAAAACTCACCAATCTGGATTCTCTCTTCTCTCTGCTTCGATATTTTAACCTTCATCTTCATCTTCTCTCATCCATTCTTGAATTTTGAGAAGGATCTTCAAACTCATCAATACTTGAAACTCCTCTTCTAGCAATATTTATCAGAAATTACTGTAACTGAATCTTTCCCTCAACCTGTCACGTCCGTAATCTTCATCTTCATCTGCAACAACACCAACACCTTCATCATCACAAATCCTCACACACTTTCTACTATCTGCAAGAGACAAAATTGTGCATCAATCTTCAACGTGACTTTTCAATTTGAATCAAAACAGGGAAAAAAGAATATGCAAGGAAAAGCGGAAGATTGACACAAGAAGAAGAGGAACTTAAAGTAGAAACGAGCAGAGGGTAAGAACCTTACCTATATCACCTTCTGGTTTTCTGCTCGATTGAATCCACGATGAGTGGGAGGGGTGAGCAGAGTTTAGAAGCTGAGGCAGAGTTTGTAAACTGGAAAAAATTTGAGATGAAATCGCGACTGATGTGGAGCGACGAAATAAACAAAAAGAACCGTGGTCGAATTGAATAAGCGAAGTGGCTAAGATGAGTTGAGCGGAGGCGTTTGTTTTGATCAGAGATGAGACGTGTCAAATGTTCTCCGACAGATCTAGGTTGAAAACAGATGATTGGATTCAGAGAGGGGAGATTGAAACAAGCGGACCTGTGGTGGCAACTGTTGCTTCACGGAGTAGAGTTCGACACGGTGGCGATAGGTAATCGAAGAAGAGAGTCTCTGTTGAGAGATAGAAGAGATGAGTCTGGTGAGAAGAGCGGAATCAAGATAGGCGGCGACAGAGCTGAGTTGATATGAGAAGAGGACAAGCGATTATTGACAGAGAAGTTTGAGTTGGATCAGAAAAGAAGTGCGACGCCATTTTCCTCCCATGAGCAAAGAGAGGATCTTGTGGGTTGAGGAAGGTGACGTGGCACAATTCTGACCCTAAATATTTCCTTTACCTTAATTTTGCCTCTTTGATTCTTATTACTCTACAACATGATTATTGACAATTGAATCCATGGTGGACTGGGTCATTGACTCTCTTCTTGGCCCAAGGTGAATTTTTGAGAGCATGAGGATTGTACAAAATCTTATTGGACTCATTCAAATTGGGCTTAGCATCACATGCCGAACTGCTGAATTATATCACTAGCTGCAGATGACACCCCCTTGAGCTTGTTATTTTCTTTTGTTAGATTTAGAATTTAATTTTTTTTCTTCTTTTTCATGATAAGAAATTATAAAAGCCAATAGAACTTGTTAGTTTTTGTTTATTTAGGAATTAATTCTTTAGTCCGATAGAATATTGCTATAATACAAAAAATAGTGGAATATAATAGTTTTTTTTTTTTAGAATTTCTTTTGTAAAAGTTTGTTTAGAATTTTCTACTGTCAATTATGTTTAGTAATCATTTCGCCCGATCTTGTGACTCAATTTTGCTTGTTGAGATCTGGAATCCTATGCAAGTTTATTGTGCGATATGCAAACGCGCTTGAGATTTTGATTGTGATTTATTTTCACATCGATGATGCATCGACATTTATTCCAAGCATTTGATTTCTGATTCTTTTCTTTGATTGGTGAAGCTTTTCGCGAAGATCGTCGGGTTTCTTTGTTTTGATAGGCTTTGCTATGGATTGATATTCGTTTGGTATTTTCCCTTGTTTACCTCATTTCAGTACTTTTCTTTTTTTAGATATCATGTGAAGTAGGAAATAAAGAGCATGCGCTCGAAGTCGCTGTTTAAAGACCTGTAGTAGGCATTCCGCACTTCATTTGCCATATGTGTTGTGCTTGTGTTTGTTTACTTTCTTGTTGATCGATGACTCACTCAATTTAGAAATTGAGATCACGACTTCCCTCTCAGTGCATGCTCCATATAGGATTTCATTGCTTTCCTTTATTTCTTGTTGATCGACGAGTCACTCAATTTAGAAATTGAGATCACGACTTCGCTCTCATTGATTTTTTCCCATATGATAGTTTTGTTAGACTTTCTTAGGTAATGGTAGTCCTGATAGGATCTCTAGATATGCTCTCTTGGGCTAGCTCTCTTGATCTTATGGGCTTACCTGTTCGATTTCATCTTTTTGTACATGTATTGAGATGATAGACCCTTGCTATGCTCCTTTAGGACTTCTTGATTCGTCTATAGATGATGAGTTGAGATAGACATTAGGATTGTTATCCAAGCATGTCAACTTAGGGTAGAGATTTCCCTTTATACTCAATCTTAGGATCAATCATTGTATGATAACATTAGGGATAGATTTAGACTAGTCTCCCTTAGATGTTTTTCTTTCTTTTGCATCCATGAATTAAAACAAAAACTTCCTTTTTCTTTGAAAAATATTCACTACGCCAAAAACTGCTTTTTGCAGCGCCTCTACTAAAGCGCTTATTGAAAAAGCGCTGCCATAGCCTTCACAAAAAACAAAATTAAAAAAAAGGGAAACCTACGAAGGCGCTTTTTTAAAAGCGCTGGCATAGGTGGGGGATACGAAAGCGCTTTTTACATTAAAAGCGCTGTGGTAGGTCAAATAAAAATATTAATAAAAACGAAATAATAGGGTTATGAAGGCGCTTTTTAAAAAGCGCTGTGGAAGATTGGCCTTTGAAAGCGCTTTCAAAAGCGCTGGCATAGCTGGACCTATGAAAGCGCTTTTACCCTAAAAAGCGTTGGTAAAAGCCCCCCTATGAAAGCGCTTTCAAAAGCGCTGTTATAGCTTATATTATTTTTAATTTAATAAATTAAAACATCAAAATAACATTATTCATTCTTTTCTCTTCTTCAAACGCACAGTACAATAGCTCTTCTTCTCTTCCACAAACACGATTTCGTAGAAAACCCTAACCCCAACCTTCTTCCTCCGTCTTCGTCCGTCCTCCGGCTGTCGTCGCAAGTCTTCGTCTTCCTCCGTAAAACTGTCTCTGTCTTCATCCGTCCTCACTGTCGTCGCAAGTCTTCGTCTTCCTCCGTGAAACTGTCTTCGTCTTCGTCTACTTCCTCAAAGAATACAGAGTAAGTTCATTTACTCAGATTTTTTGTTAATGCAACTATTAGAACTAGGTACTGGAAGTAGCTATTGTTTTTTTTTTGTTCTATTAAAATGTATATTGTCTGGTGTTGGAAGGGAGAACACTGTTGAACATTGTGTTCATTCTCATCATTGATAAACTTCATCTAGGTTCAGTTTTATCATATTTCAAATTATGGTTCATTGGTTATTTGTTTTTGTTTTTGTTTTCTTCAAGAACACAAGTTCAATAGCATAAGCACAATGCCTTTAATTGATCGTAGCTGATGGAATTTAGAACAATGCTTGTTTTTTCTGTTAGTCTAGAGAACCTAACAAATATCAATTTACATAGGATTTAATTTATCAATGCCTTTGACAACAAAGCAAACAGGATAATCAAGAGATGCAAGTATACTGTATACAATTTCATAAACAAAGAGTCTGAAGTTTGCAATCACTAACCTTGCTTTCTCTAATTTTTCAACCACATCATGCATAGCATGGATGATAATTTTCTTCACCTGATACCAAAGAAGCAGCCATCAGGAAAAAAAAACAGTACACAAAATCCCAATAAGAAACTGTTAACAATATGATATGAAATAGGAGAATAGAATTGAAATAGGTTGATGATCAAGATTTTAAACATTCAACAAGGATTGAAACAATCAATTTAGAAGTTAGAACCTTACTAGTATTACTGATTTGTAAGCATACTCACTTGCCCTCGAATGTGTGAGAATATATATAAGAAAAGAATCTTACATTACTCTACTATTAATGTTAGAATATCTTAGTTTATCTCATAGGATCAGTTTCTTACATTGGGGTATTTGTTTTCTACAGTTTGGCTACAACCTTCAGTTTTAATTCATAAGATCAAGTTCATTGTATTTGTTTTCAACAGTTTTACTATTTGTTTTTTACAATTTGGCTACAACAAAATTCTATTTAAGATCAGGATCATTGGGGTGAGTAAGATTCCAAAATAATAAGATTTTAAGATATAGATTGAGATCTTGACAACCTTGATTAAAACACTTTTCTGTATAGAACGGTCCCTCAAGACAGTTAACTAAATCGATTCAATATAACTAGCTTATCTCCCTCAATGCTCAGTCTAGCTCAATAAATATTAACCTTTTTATATTGATATCTTTATTTTCTTTTGTGGTAGATTTCTTACTGGAAACCTTCTCACTGGACCAATACCGCCTACTTGGAGGAAGAATACCTACGTGTGAGTTATCTTAGAATTTTTTGTTATAAGTGAATGTTGGTCTAAGGTTATTTCACGCACTTTTGTATCATCGACATGACTATAGTGTAGACTAATGTAGTTTTACGTACGACGCTCATTCTCCGCGTTTCTTAGAGTTCGAAACATCTGAGAGGTAACTTTCTCCGATTGAAGAAATTCGAACTGTCCTTGATCGTAGTGTACGCAGGACGCTCTCAACATTTTCAAAGGTTTCTATCCTATTCTTGAACTGACTTGAATAACTGATTGTTTTTACTTTTATTTTCCGGCTCAGTGTGAATTTCTAATGATTATAGTTGAGTGGAATTCATGAGCTGCGGTTGTGTTTTTGTTTATATTTAGACTGTTATGGCAGTATAGGGCTGTATATGGCAGTATGGCAGTATTGATAGCATTG